ATTAAAAAAAAAAAAAAAGATAAAGTGCACACGGAGTGAAATCAGTCCTCAGATGTGGCCTGACACATCCCGTAGAATTACCTTTTTGAACTGTTTCTATGGCTCCAGACCAGAGAGACGTGGCTTTTTAGCAGCCCTTTAATATCACTTGGATTGAGCTCATAGTAAAATAAAATTCCTGGCTTGTCTCCATAGGTTCCTTTTGACTTTACCCCCTTCCTATACGTACGCGGTTAAGAACCTGAACCCAAACCTAAATTTTAGCTCTATTTATATGCAGTGTTTTTTTCTCTCTTTTGTGTTGAAGCAAAAGGTTTCGAATCTTGATTCTGTCATCCAAAGTGACAGCGACCCTGCCTGGTTCTGATTTACCTACGAATGTCCCGAATACTCCTAAGTCTTACTTCGTCAAGTAAGTGAAGTCTGTCTGAGCCGCGGGCCCACAGAGTGATGCCTCCGTGATGGTGCAGCCTGGTGACAAGCCCTCCAGAGGTGACAATAAGAGGTCCTGCGCCGTCCCCCCGTGGCCCACGTGCTCCAAAGGCCTTCTGTCTCCCACTGCACGCACCGCAGCCTGACAGGCACCTGCACTCCAGACCGTGGCCTGCTGCTTGGCAGGAAGCAGCTCCAGGCTGGCCTGCTCTCCGGAGGGCTGAATGATCTTCTCCAACGACGTCTGAGACCCTCCACCGCCCCTCAGCTCTGCGGGATGGAGGCGGGTAGCCTCTACGAAATGCTCCTGGCGTTCCCTTCGATCGTGCAGTTTCCCTTTACCGTAGTCAACACTTATATCAAAAACCCCACGTGTAACCCACTGTGTGGTTTCAGTCTCCTGACTGGGCCCAGACAGCTCCACCAGGAAAGGGGGAAGCATGTATTGAGCCACGACTGTATGCAAGGCTCGCCAGGCTGTTCACATCTTATCGACTAGACATGGGATAGGCGTCCTGTTCTTCGGTGATACGGAAAGCATCCCAAGCAGAAAGAGAGTAAGCGGCAGAGTTAGCCTTCTAGCCGGACACCGAACCGTGAGCTACAAGCGACCGTCTCCAGAATTCGCCCAGCCACGTCCGCTAGGGGAGGGGGAGGATCAGCCGCGTTTTAAATATTGACATTTGAGAGAGGAAATGCATTATTACATCAGATAAGGCAAGAAAGGCTGGACCCGAAAAGCCCAAGGCCATGTCAAACGATATCACTTCACTCGGTATTGCCAGGTGGCTGGCCGCCTCTTCCCAGGAGCCCTGGTGCATTGGCCGTGGTTAAGTGTAATAATTTCAAGGTAATTTCTTGGGGTCCAAGTGAACTG